AGTAACCACCTACAGTAATTCACAGTTTTCTGGAACAAAAAAGTGTGAATTACTGTAGGCGGTTCCTGCTAATATTTTTTTTACTAACAACCTACCGTGCAAGAGGAAAAAAGAATTCCAGAAAAAAAAAGAAATACAGGAAAGAATGAAAGGATTAATAGAGATAAAAGTATTATGAAAAAAATCTCTATTTCTTTCTTGATTTTGAACATGAATCAAATTTTTTCTCGCTAAAATATGCGTTTGTTAAAAAAATTTTTAATTAGAAATCACATTCGAAATAGAGTTTTCTAAAGAAAACCATGCATTGTTTGAACATTTCATAGTAATTTTTATCCAGAAATTTTGATTAGAAATTAGGTTTTTCGCACCATTAACGAAGAATTTGTGAAACAAAAAAACTGTCGCAAGTTACTTTGTTTTTGAGCTCAAAGCATCACTAGCTTACAGATGAGATATCCGGCAGAACTATTAGTCAAAAAGTTGAAACTTTCTTGAGAAAAACCACACCGAGAACAAAATTTCCATCAATTGTTTTTTGAAAGAAATCCGTTGAAAAAAATATTGCAATCACATTCTCAAACCAAGCGCCCATGGATTCTAATTGCTTATAATGATTTACCGAGACAAAAGTATTTCATTATCAGTCATTAAAGATGTCAAATTCAGACCACGAAATCGACTATATTGCCATTATAATCGATCATTTTTGAAAAAAAAATCCTTGATAATCCATTTTAATCGAGTATATTCCGTTAGTTCCAAAATAATTGATTATAATTGATTTATTTTGAAATAAACATCTATTATAATCCCTTATAATCTATCCTAATCAAATTTATTGTTAAAACTAAACTCGATTGTTTTTTCGCAGAAATTTTGCAAATTTTGCAAGAATTTTACAAAACGTATGCTATGACCTTTAAATACAATATCTCAGCCAATTCTAACAATAAATAATCCCCCCTCCGTCTGTTCAACCATAACTGTTGTAACCTGAGAGAGATGTGGGGTGAAAAAAAGTGGTGGGATGCGGTAAACTAGCGCGCTAGGGGAATTGGGGGCGGTTTAAACTGAGGGGTGGTAAACTGTGGGTTTTCAAAAATAAAACATCCCCATTCTACCATTTTTCCCCCTTTGTACCGTTCAATCCTTGCACCCTTTCCTGCAAAAAAAACAAAAAAATACAAAAGATACAAAAAAAATCGCAAATCATAGAGCCATATTATCTATAATTTATGCATTTGAAAAAATTGCGAGATATATTGACTTTGAAAATTTCCGAAATTGAGACTTTTTTTTATTGTTGTTGGTTGAAACAAATAGCTTTCTTCGGTTCATTTGATGGATTAAAAATGCATCAACTGTGTAAACTTACAACTATTCGAATGTCAAAGCACATATTATCAAAAATGTTGTAAAATCGCAAATAAGTATCAAAGGTGCTACTATAGGCCAGCTAAAGCTGGAAATACCTGTTTGATAGTTTTTGAAATTTTTTGTGTTGATGTAGAAGGACAAGGGTAATTCCAAAAACAGACCTATTGCTGATCTGTTAAAATCTGTTAACTTCGTTAATTACTTCAGTTTTCTGAAAAAATGAAGTGATTACAAGAGCTTGTTAGGTTAAAAGATGCTTAAAAAGTAGCTCATTAGATTTGGGTGGATAGTTTTTGAGAGTCGTCAAAAAGTTTCAAAAAACGGTAGAAAAATTGAAAATTTGACTTTTCCGAGGATCATAACTTTTTGTGTAAGAAAATTGGGCTTATACATATAGCTACCCACAACCCGTTCTACCTATTGAAAAGATAATCTCAGATTTGAGGGGGTAACTTTCGAGAAAAATCAAAAAGTTTGAAAAAACGGCCAAAAATCGAAAATTTGACTTTACCAAGGGTCATAACTTTGTGTTTGAAAAACTTTGAGTGTAACCACTAATGCAGAGGAGCTCCCTGCATCCCTTCCGTTCGATTGAAGCTAAATATCAGATTTTGGAGAGTAGTTTTTGAGAAAGTCAAAAAATATGAAAACAACAGTTACAAAACCGAAAACTCGACTTTTTGAGTGCCATAACTTGTTAGGTGAAAAAGTTGGGCGTAGCCACGACCTGTTCTATCGGATGAACTCGAAATCTCAGATTTGGACGGGTAGTTTTCGAGAAAATGCAAAAAATCCAAAAATTTGGGTAAAAAATTCCTCCACACACTTGTTCGAAGGCTGTAGAAAATGGGGTAAGGTAAAAAGAGACTAGGGGAAAACGCAGGTACATAGGAGAGTGGGCGGGTTTACCATTGGTCCCACTCTTTTAAGAAATGGTGAAGTTGTTTTTGAGAAAAACGAAAATTTTCCAAAGCGTCACAAAAAAATTAAAAAATTAAAAAGCCCAATCCCAATAACATTTTCATAATACGTTAACATCAAACAGGATTAAAATAACAAAATATCTTAGTGCCAACTCGATGCAGCAAATTCGACACATTAATTATTGCTGCTTTAATTCGCAACAGTAATTGCGTATTAGTCGTAACAAAAGTCGCAATAATATTTGTGACTAAGGTTGGGAAAAAAAGTAAGTTCGTATTATAACAAATTGCTTCGCAAGTGTAAACAGGAATCAAAATAGCATGGTGGACACGTCAACCAAGCGCAATGCACTAAAATGCACTAAAAAATCTTCAAATGAGAGCCGCCACTACCCATTGCCGTCGTCAAAGAATTTGGAAGCATAATGACGACTCAACAACAGAAAAATCAATAGGAAAGAAACAACCTGATATTCATCTTTTGGTGAAAAGTTGGGCGTAACTTTGTGTTTGAAAGTTGGGCGTAACATTGCCGTCGTCAACCAAGCGCAATACTTCTGTTTAGTGTCTATTTAATTGTCTCTTTTAACACACTAACTAACGAAAATTTCAAGATCAAAACAAACAATTGTCTTTTATATCATCAAGGATTTTGAGCTTCTTTGAAAAATATCGAAAACGTTTTCAATTGATCTACCAAACAAAACAGTAGATCATTAGTGTTCCACGCTTGACAATTGAGTAATCACACACTCCGTAAATGTCTGAGTATTAACATTTGTATCTTACTGTTTTAGTTTTTTGTTTTTACAATGAGATTTTAGCATATGGAGCTTGAATAGTTCATGCCTTTTTGGTTTTAAATTTAACCATAGATTGATTTTGAATCGCTTAAAACCAACTGCCAACTGTTTTATGCATTGGGTCAAAATTTCATTGAGTTACTTCAGTAGAAAACGAGAAAATTGACTAAATGAGAAAATTATTAGAAAATTTCATCTAAAACATCTTGTATTGCACACAAATACTACCCGACACCGAAGCTGCTTCCCACGCTTAAAGAGTGTTCGAAAAACTCGAAAGACAGATTTGAATCGATAAAACTGCCAGCCACAATCTTGAAGGCGGTAAACTTTTTATGAATGAAAATACTTCTAGCTAAAAAATGAAAATCATTTTCTGCTGAATCAAATATATTACAACATGATGAAGACAAAGTAATACAACAAGATATACATAACTGGAAACTAAGCCAAGATTACTCCAAATGAAAAACTTGAATGATCCTACTGCTTTTTCTCTCTGAGAAACTTCGCTCAACTAACTTGAGTCTATTCAAGAGTCAATTATAATTTAATGAAATTTCGGTTGGCTCGCTGCGAACAAGTAAATGAAGTCAAGCTTCCGCATTGAGCATCATTCTAAATCTTGAAAAAGAATTTTAAAAAATGAAGGTTTTTTCTCTTTGTTTTCCTTTTACCCCCCCCCCCAAACGCTATGTAAAATAACAGGTTCAGTGTACGGCCTAATCTAGTCATATTTCAGTTTAGTTTTGGGTTTGGTAGAGTCCATCTTTTTTGAGAGAAAGTAAGTTTTTTTCATGCACAATAAAAAGTTTGTTTGAGGACTCACAAGTGTACGTTGTCTTATCCGCACTCAAAACTTTGCCGCTTTCAATCATTTCTTCTTTCGGTCGAGAAAAGTCATTAGCAGCCTACAAAAATGATCCTCAAGATGAAAATGTGTCGCCTCTAAATTGGGAACTTGGTTTTTTTTGAGTTTTGAAAATTTGAGTTTTTATTTTAAAAAATGAGTTTTCTTAAATGCACTAAAAAATCTTCGAATGAGAGCCGTCGTCAAAGAATTTGGAAGCATAAATGACGACTCAACAACAGAAAAATCAATAGGAAAGAAACAACATGATATTCATCTTTTGCTTTTGGTAAATATCTTTGCTTGGATTGATGTCATAGAGTTTATAGTTTCATTTGATACAACAAATTGTGTTTTTCCTACTTTTAGAGATTTAGGTGTCATGTGTCGATCAAAACTAGTGTCAAGTGCCTATCATTAAAAAAATTCAAAAAACTCTTTCTATGGGGAACCGCCTAGCGGGTTGTGACTATGTATGCGTAGCTAAGATTGCCTCTTTCTTCCAAGATCGCTACTTGGTTGTCTTCGCGTGTAAAACTTTTTTTCATTATCTTGCATCTTGTATTTTTAAACATCCTGCAAAAAAGGTTCTCTTTAAAGGAGTTTATCTTGCAAAACTTTACAAGAATCTTGCAAGATCTTTTAAAGAGATGCACCCTCTTTAGAAGAATCTTGCAAGATTCTTGCAAGATAACCTCCCTTGATCGACTAGGGAAAACAGGTAAAACAAAAAACCGTAAGCATTAAAGGAACAAAAAGAAACGAAAGAGAGAAAAATTAAACTCAAAGTACTTTTTTAATTGATTGGTTGATACTAATTTGGTTCATACTAATTTGGTTCATACTGATTTGGTTCATACCATGATATGTCAAAATTTTTCTATCTAATAAGCTAAACATTTATTCCAAATATGTAAAACATTTTGACCAAATGCACTAACATTTTCGACCAGTTAAAATAACTGAAGACTTGACTCTGTTTATTAGCATGATTTAGTAATTAATCATCAAAAACTCTCAGAGAGCTTCAATTTTGCCTCTAACCTTGTCTATGCTGTCCATGAGATCTGAACTCCCCGCGCTCATACCATTTCGGGATGTCCAAGTTGTATTGAGTCCACACTTGCGAGTACTTTCAGACTGTTGAGATGGTGGGACTATTTGGTCATTAGTGAGTTCTGAGAAAGAGTTGAACAGGATTTGAAATGACATGTTCAGTTTCAGCTGCAACTAAAACAGCAATGTCCTCAATTAAGTGAGATTTTTTATGACTAAAAACTGACCAAATATTTGAATATATTTTGTATTCAACTAGATGAATGGGTTTTAAAGACTAATTATCTACAAGGGAAAAGACCAAAAGATGATCTGTTCGCCTCTTAACGTTGAACAGTTGTTTAAACCCATTATCCCCTAATTAAAGGGAATATGTGAAATATTTGGCAAAGTTTTTGGTTAGAGAAATCTCACCTGTGACGAAAAAGCAGGAATTAAAACTTTACCGTAATTACTTATTATTCGGAAACTAATCATGGAATCTTTAAATGGAATTGACAGTTTGAGAGGAATAAATAGCTCGAATCAATTAAATATCTTACGTCATAGTTGTTTCCTCCTCCCCCTACCCCTCCCCCCGTGACGGCGGCGTCTGAATAGGAGAAGATGTGTTGTTCAGGCTTGAACAGAATGATCGTGCCCAGAGTGATGTTGTGGTTGGCCATCAGAACATCCAGGTCCGCATCCTGAAAACAAACAAAAACACTTAAAGTTTAATTGGAGATGTTTCAGAATAGTATCAAAGCCGGAGGTAGTTTTTAGTTTTAATACCGCAAGATAAGGAATTTTCAGCTACACTGCTCTCCATACTTTTACGTTGACTTAAGCGTATAAAATTGGGTTACATTAGTTTGCGAGCGAAAAAAAATAGCATCCAATATTTTCAGGATAGATTGACTTGAATGTGCTTAACCAATTTGTTTGCCAAGTGTTTGTGTTTAACCAATTTTGATGGACTAAAAAATTGACTTAAAACGAACTCAAATCGATCAAAAAACACTTTTGTCTATGCGGTTTTGTACTTTACAATGAGTGTGTCGTGAAGTTTTCAGAACAAAAATTTATAAATTCTATCTTTTTTTTCTTATTAAAACTTTAGGCCAATATACTTCAAACCCTAAAACAATTTTAAAAAAATATAACAGCACCCTGATATGATCATTTTTGTAATATTATGAGAAGGCAGTAGCGGATTTAGTGGAAGGGGCGTGGAAGCGGACGCCCCCCCCCCCCCCCCCCTCAGGGATTCGACCCCTGCCAACCCAAAGGGTGCCCCTTTGTACTATTTTGAGATATTCATTTTTGGCTGACTGACCTTAAAATTTTTCTAAAGGCGCCTTTGGCGCCAATCTATACTAATTTTGACGGGGGAGCGCCTGCCTAAAAAAACGCAATTTTGTGGTCAAAATTGATCAAACAAAATTTGCCAGCGGCGCAGAAAAATTGGTCAAATTAGGGTCTTTATAGTGGTTTGAAAGAGCTCAGAAAAACAATTTGGTCAACCTAAAAAAATGTCGACAAAATTTTCAAAACTTTTTTAAACCCCCCTTGAGAAGTTTCTAGATCCGCGCCTGTGTGAAGGTGATCTAAATGTTGCAAATGTGATTTACCTATGAAAATTTCTTTGTTGATAAGAAAGTTCTGTTTCCCTATAAATTGTTTGACATTTTTTGACTATTTAAAACATGCGGTACCCAGAGGCTTTTGAGTTATCTTGCTGATTTAATAAGAATACAATAACTGGCAAATCTAAAACTATGTTCGATTTCAATCCATTTTAAATTGATTCAAAACGATCAATAATAACAACATTAGGAACTGAAAGTAAATCTAAATTAACTAAATCGATCTACTCGGAACGTTTAGGTTGGGATCAATTTCAGAGCCTGAAAACATGATTTAAGTTGATAGTGTAGATTTTGTTAGTCACAAAATTCCATTTGAATTTATCAAAAATGATTTTAAAAAGGTTTTTTTTTCTGCACTGTAAGTTCAGCAGAATTTTTTGTACTCAAGAAAAGTTTCCATCAGTGTAACCGTGATCTAGTCGTCAGTTGAGCAGATTTATTTACCGCAAACAATTAGTTTCAGGGTATCCCTTCGAAGTTTCGAAATGTAAGGGTTGCCGTGGTGATAAAAAGTAATGGTATGCAAAAACTCTTCAAATTAGTTTTCTTCGAAGTAGTTTCAACACTTTCTCGCAATTTTTCAAAGCGAATCAGCAAAACAATAAAAAAACTAAAAGTTAAAAATTATTTCCGCTCCAAAAAAATTCCACCTGAATATATTTTATATTTTTTCCAGTTCGCACATCAGCACAAAAATTGAATGAAAAGCATATTTTATAAGTCCAAAAAAATGGTATACAGTTTGTAAAAGCTGATAGGTTTTGAAATGCTTAGAGAAAAATTATTAAAATCAATTCAAAGAGACTCAAGTTAATTTGGGTTGATTTAAATGCCTCAAAAACAGGTATCAAACAAAAAAATGGATTTATGGCAATCCTAAATTTTATTAATAAATTTTAGTTCTGACAATTGAAAATGGGGAGGAACTTTGTATTCGGGTGTGTTTTATTTTTTTTTTCTTTTTGTTCTCCACGCAAAATCAGGTACCACAAAATAATCATCGGACGGGGTTGAGTGATATATCATATTAAAGACCCTAAAGTCGTGATTCGAACCACATTCAGAAATTTAAAAAAATTTCCTTGTCGAAAAAACCGGTTTGAAGTTTTCGATTTTATTCGGGTGTGTTTTATTTTTTTTCTTTTTGTTCTCCACGCAAAATCAGGTACCACAAAATAATCATCGGACGGGGTTGAGTGATATATCATATTAAAGACCCTAAAGTCGTGATTCGAACCACATTCAGAAATTTAAAAAAATTTCCTTGTCGAGAAAAACCGGTTTGAAGTTTTCGATTTTTCGTCGTAGTTTGAGCAAAAAAAGCGAGCAAGCTGTCTTATTTCAACTGCCTAAAAGCTGACAATAGCTCAATCTAAAACGTATAAACTTAATTTTACTAGAGTAACATTAGTTTACTTTGAGTATGTTAGCGCCTTTTTGGAATCAAAAATTTTCAAAAATTCAAAAAACTGCAAAACTTGAAAAACTTCAAGTAACTATTCTAAAAAATTTTTTTTCAATTTGCTTATTTTAATATGAATGTCGATTATACCTAGTCTCCAGTTTTTTCGTTCAGCTCCCTTTACCACAGCACGCCAAAAAAACGACAATAGTTTGTTTTGTAGGACTATGGTAGTACATTCTGTGACACGTGCACAGTAACCGGCTATCGTTGTTTATCTTTGATTTTGGATTATTATGAACTGATATGAAATCAATTTAAAGTTATCATACTTACATTGCCTTTTTTCTATTTCTTATTTATTTATATATCTGGGATTTACTTCTGTAGAAAAACTGTACCGTAAAAACAACAACTCCGAGTCAACAAAAATCTCATTTTTTCCTTTGTCTCAAGAAGTATGAAAAAGCAGAGATAATTGAAACCATGCTACAAAAACTGATAGAAGTTGAAATGGATGTTGAATCGAAAAGAAAACTTTTGCACGCTCTTATTTCAAGTTCATATATGTTGAGTTTTTCTGATATTTTCTGTTTAGATTTAAAAATCCTTAAAAAATAATGTTGTTTCAATTGCAGTAAGAAATAAAAAACAAGTGCAGTTATGCAATTTTTAATTCAATTTTTTTTCCCAGAAAAGTGCGGATTATTTGCGCCCGATAGTCATTTTTAATTTTTTAAAGAAAAAATCTAAAATATTTTGATTCCTTGAGCTTACAATTAAAAAGATGTTATACAGATAAGAAACGTGGCGGGAAGATATGCAAAAAACCATGAAAGTATTTTCAACTATTTTTGAAGATTTTACTTTTTTTCCACTAAAATATACTTCTGCAGATATATTTAACATCAGTCGAATTGTTCTGAGCTTCGCCCTGATTCAAACACTCTTGTTTTACTAACGGTTCATAACCAAGAACTTTTAAAAAGTAATTTGATTCCATGCGAAGCCAAAAATGAACGTCTATAGACTTTTTCAGTACGCCATATTCCCTCATCAAACCAAACGAAAATTGAGCAAAAATACAGCAATTTAAAATTGAATCTCAGTTTTCTCGCTTCATTTATACACTTGGCAATAAATCCTGATTTAAAAAAAGTAAGTTAATTAAATTTACGAGAAACATATTAGACTCCTTGCCCTCTAAACCTCCCTCCTCCCAACTAAAATGCAAAAACCACTTAAAAAGTAAATTTTAAATTTTTCAAATCCATACTTCGGTAGTGTGAACAATGTGTTTAAAAACTTTGCAGTTTGAGCAAAAATTTGTTTCAATTAAGATGGTATTAAGGGGTAGAAAAAAATGAAGAGATTTGGGTAAATTTGATGAGGATGTCGGGGGTTTGGGTGAATGAGAATAGACAGTGGTTGTTTCTCATAATAACTGACGGGACAAGCGAGTATCCATGTGAAGGTGGACGTGAACATGTTGTAGTGGGAGGCACAGTCCATCACCCGTCTGCAGTTCTCCCCACTCCCTATCACCACGAAGTGCTCGAAGCTGTCACTCTTGTTGAAAGTGCTGCACAACACCAACACAAAAAGTATATAATTTTTAAATAGAAGAGACTTAACACAAGTAGTCGGTGGTTGCTGTCTGTGCAAATAGCACCTGTTTCTCAGAAAAACAATAATCAACTTTGAGAAAAAACTTGAAAAATATATTTTTTTAATTTTTTCAAATAACCATTTTAAAAAATTTTTTGTAATACCATTTTATAAGTTTTCACTCACTTCATTGTTTATGTGTGGCTGATTTATTTTTAAAAAAAAATATGTTCACAATAAATTTAATACAAAACAACGCCGTAGTTTAGAGTGACCAAAGAAATCTATCACGGAATTTTCTCGACTCACGATTTAATGGAATTCAAAACACAGCAATTCGTCTCCAAATTTTCTTCGATAAAAGCAAAAATCACAACAAAAGTGAAAATTGATGGTTTTTTCTTCAATTTTTCAGTTATTTTTCTTTTCTTTATTGAACCTGTTATTTGGTAAATTTGCTACACTCAATACAAAAACCAAATAGTACAAAATACAAATTTGTTAGTTTTTTTGTTCCACTCAAGGACTGAGATGAAATTTGCTTTTTAGTCGTGATTTCGTTTCGTTTATATTTCAAAAAATAATAATAATATCGGGAAAAATAGTCTCAAATTTTGGCGTTTCAGAACTTATATCCTAGTTAAAAGGTAGTTCAGACAAGAAACGCGCAATCACGTCAAAATAACTTTAAAAAATTTGAGCTACCGCGTTGAAAGTTTGAGATTCTATAGGTAGCAAAAAAAATTGACATTCAATTTGCCCTGTGTTAATAACATTTTGACGATTATACTTTAAGTTCATCTTAAACCCCAGCATACGTTCACTGTTCAAATTGAGTTTTGTTCTTCCGACCAATAATATTCGGGAGGAAAGATGTATTCGGGTATTTTTTCTCACACGCAAATTTGGAACAAAAAGCATGGAAAATTGGAATTGTCAGACAGGAGCAGGTGATATTTCATTTTAAAGGCCGTACAGTCGTGTTTTTATAGATATTTAAAAATAACCAAAACAATTTCTCATTTTTGAGAAAAACAGACAAAAATTCAGTACAATTTAAGGAGTGCAAAGCCAGCTATTAGAGCAAAAATCCAATAATTAAACTGGCAAAAAATTTAGGAAACTATTTTGGATGGTTGAGTTAAAGCTAAAACAAAATCTAAAAAAAATTGAATTGAAAAAAAAAAGATTATTTTTTTATCAAAAATTTTTGTTATTCGTTTTAGATAATTGCAGCCAGTAAAAACTGCTTAAAACTTGAAAAAACTATAAGCTTGGAAAAAATGGGGTCACAAATTTCTGAGCTACTTGCACAGCAACCGGCAGTTTCTGTAATTTTTCAGCTTCTTTTTTCAAAGTTAAAAACTAAGCAAACGTATTCAGAACACTGCGTACAGCTATCTACTATTTTGTTAACTGACATTTTACCTGAGTTCTGTTTCCAGATCCACCTCGAACTGTTTGCTAGTGTCGATCTCGTATCGGAACACATTAGTCTGCGCCAACTTCCTCCGGAATCGAACATTCCGAGCATCGTCTGAAAGAAAGCAAGACTCTAGAGAGAACTCTGGTGGCTTCAATCAAAAGCTACCACATGATGAATGGTTTGCTCGGTTAAAGAGTCATTTTAAAGGAAAAATTCGTAGTTTTAGATAGTTTCCCAGTAAAAATACAAATTTTCACCTTCAACTCCATTAATACCAGTAGTGGATCTGGGGGAGGGGAGGATTCCCTCTTTGGTACTATTTAAACAGTTCCATTTTTGCCTGACCGACCCTAAAAAGTGCTTTTTTCCTTTTCCCCCATCTGAAAGATTTTTTGAGTAATTTTTGTTCACATTGTCCGATTCTTACAAAAGTTGGCATGCGGACTAATTCGCCCGCGCTACAAACATATTTATTTAGTCTTCATTCATAACCTTGTAAGACTCCTCGTTACTCCATCAAACTGATAATTATGTGATGTGATGGGGGGGGGAGGAAAAAGAGCCTTGAAAAACGTTTCTGAAGGCGCACCGACCTTAAAGTTTTGTTGTAATTTGGGTAACAGCGCACCAAAAAAAAACAATTTTCTGGTCAAACCTTCCAAAAAGCCTAAAAACGTCGTTTTTTGGTAGTTCTTATTGCGTTCTGGTATTTCTTATAAAATCATCTTGGCCAGCCTAAACAAGAAATCTCGCTTTTTAAGAGAAACTTCGAGAAAACAATTGCATAGCGTTAGTTCGAATTGATTTCACATTGTCCAATAATTTATAATGTTAGAGAGAAATAATTTTTCACCATGTCACTTACCGAAACCATTGGACATTGTATTGTCATGGACTAAAACCAGCCGAGTCCAGTTCCTCATCACTATGAAATCTATCAGAGGCTCCTCCACCAATTCACTGGAACCACCCAGACTCACAGTGAACAACCTCTTCCCATTCGTATTCTGCCCCCCTGTAGTGTCCCACGTAGTCCCCCCTTGCTCCATGGTGATGGGGGAGATGTCTGGATTGAGTGGGAGAAGAGGGTGTAATCCCCCAACAAGAGATCCCTGGAGAGAAGTTGAAAGTTTCAGAAGAAATTCAATTCAAAAATCATGTAATAGATAACTTCAATATCTTAAATCATAACAGTTTTGTAGAGAAAAAATTGTACCATATATTGGTTTTTTAAAAAAAGCAAAAATTTAGAAATCATTTGTAAAAACGAAAGTATGCAAAAACATTTTTAGCAGTTTTGAAATTAAGTTTTTGGTTATAGATTATTTTATCGCACGTAATTGCAAAATGTACAGTCACCGGAAATTGTTGCCAGAAAACTGAACAGCTTCACGAGAATTTGTTGACAGAAAACTTCGAGATTTTTAAAATTAGAAAGTTTGATAGGATAACGCTCAGTTCATATGCATATGAATGAAAATCATAGCACTGGAAAACTACCACTGGAAAAGCTATCTACAAACCTGTGAGACAGATGGGAGTATGTGGTGTAGGTTCTGGTCGTGGAAACTGCAGCCACTGTTTGTTCCCAACATCAGGTGGGGCAGAAGGAGAGTGTCGGTCTGGGCCACCAGAGCATTGGAGGAGTAGCAAGAGACATAGCTGATCAGCACACTAATACTCTCATGTTCTATCATTCTGCACACTAAAAACAAACAACGTTTAAAATACAAAAAAGAGTCGAGGCTTTTGTTTTTGTTTATTAAGAAAAGAGTATCGAGAATTGAGGGATTATTAATAACACTCAAAGCTCAAATGAAGGCTTTTTTGTTCCGACCGTTGAAAATGGGGAGAAACTTTGTATTCGGTTGTTTCAATTTTTTTTTTAATTTTCTTTATTTCCTCACAAAATCTGCTACCACAAAAAATTATTGGAATGAAACAAGTGATATATCAAACTGAAGCCCTTCAGGGGTGGTTCGAACAAATTTTTATAAAAGTTTTAATTCAAATTCGAGCGAGTAAAGCAATCGAGTAATGTTCGTTACCGAAGAATTTAACTTTTAATTAGTCTTTTTGGCTGAAAAATCTTGATTTTATTTAGAAAAAAAAGACTAGTTTGGAAAAGCTAAAGCTGTGAAAACTAAAAAATGAAAGCTAAAAATTTCTTCTAGCGCTCTATGGGAAACAAAGTGTTCTGAAAATTTTTACCAAAATAAAATTGGAAAAAATATTTCTGAAGTTTTTAAGTCATTTCTGTAGCAATTTGCATGAGGTTGGTAATTGTTCGACGAAAAAAGACTAGTTCTTGATTACACGACACTCTCGCAAGAATAAAGATTAAAATTATGACTTTTGATAAATATTGAAAATTACCAAAAAAAATACGAGCTATTCAGTTCATAACGTAGAGTTTTGCCACTGATTATGAGCTGCATGCATTCCTTTTTTCGATTGTTTTCTGGCTGAAAATTACGTAACAAGAACGGATGACGAGCCTCAAAACACAGCCGATTTCTGGATTGGTAAGCAGAATCCTACCTGATGACATGGCACTGAATGATGTCTTGTTAAGCAGGAACTCGAAGACATCTTCCACGGAGACGCCTTCGAACTGTGATTGATAGTAGCCCAGGCTGGTTTTGTATTCCACGTTTGAATACAAATCGGGATACTCACTTATGACACCTGAATAGAAATTTAAAAAAGTAATTAGCAATCAACAAAAAAAATACGCTGTCAAGTACCTTTTGTTTCTCTTTGAAATGAAGCCAAATGAAAGGCTTAAAAACAAGAATACCCGGCTTGCAGTGCAAATACCACAAAAGTGCCGGCCTTTTGAAATTTAGGAATTGATGTTAAAAATTTGGGGCAGCTCAAACAAACTAAAATTTCAGTAATCAAATGTGCAGTTTTGTTGAAAAAAAACGCCCAAAAAATTTTTCTTGATTAATTTTCATAAAAACGATTTTTCAAATAATCAGATGCTAGAAAAATATCCTTTGCATGTTTAGAGGGAAACAATTTTTATGCCCGGAGTAAATTGAAGTGGTCTTATTTGAGATGATTGTATCTAAAATATTTCAATAGAAAAACTCAATTCAGTTTTTATTCCGATTATTTATTAACGCTGGAGTTATGAAGACTAAATTGGAAAAACAACTCTGTATTTTCACTTCGAGAGTTTTAAGAGGAGTGGTCACTTAAATTTGTAAATATGTATTGGATGTATTATCCGATATAAATAAAAGTTTTGTTGTTGTTGTTATTATGCAGATGCAAAGCCAAACAAGGAAAGCGGTTTACAGTGCAAGTAGGACAGAAAGTTCCAACCACAGTCTTAAGAAAGACAAAAAGATTTTTTTTTCAGAATTTAGGTATATTCGACAGTCATAACACAAAAAGCAAATTGGAAAACCATTTTTGTAGCAAAATTGTCAGTGAAATGAAAAAAATGTAGAAAAATCAAAAAAATTTGTAAACATCTTATGAATTTTGATTTTTTTTTGCAATTTTTTGATTCCCAAAATGGCACAAGCAAACTTCAAAAGCTAATTTCGCATGAGTAAAAATAAGTTTTTAAGGCTTCAAATTGGCTTAAATTAAGCCTGCTTGCTCACCCTATTCTCTTGAACTTGGGCCAAAAGTCAAAAAGTTCAAACTGGTTTCTCTCGAAACTGAGAAAAAAAAATTTGAAACTTTTTCCAGTCGTTTGAATCACGATTGAAAGAGTTTTAAAATGAAATATCACTCGACATTCCGATTATTTGTGGCACCTGATTTTGCGCGGGAAAAAACTAAAATACAAAATTTCAATGGTCGGAAAAAAATGATAATATTCTTGTGTATGGATGCAAAAAAAAAACATTTTAGAGTAAAACAATTTTCGCGAGTGTCTTAACGATCATAAATATGATCATTTGATTTGCAAGTTTGTGGAACTAAAAACATTTTTATTGTAAACAAACTCGATATGATATTCTTCTAGGACTATTACTCATATGATGTGTTGCCCGAAGCCTGTTAATTTTTCCACACTGCAGCCAGTCAGAGTTTTGCATCACTTGCGATAAGACACAAGCGCAGCATTGCAAGTTACCGAAGGGAAAATGAGACCGAAAGAACAAAATCGACAAAAAAAAACAAAAATATGCTCTGAAAAACAGTCGAAAAACCCAACCACCAAATTTAAATAAGCTTTTAGTATTTACAAAGCGGGCATTAAGGCGACAAAAAATTAAACGCCCATTGGGCCCGGAACAAAAAAAGAAATTGTAGCTAAAAATATTTTGTGTAAATATGAACTAAAGTACAAAAGTTTTCTCAAAGTTAACATAAAGCCTTTTTGTTTATTGTCGTGGTAGCCCTAATTTCATCATTACGAGGCCAAACTGTGTATTTTGTGAATTGTAAGCGGATTAGGCTAGAGGGACGCTCACTTCGTTCTCTTTTTGTTCCTTTATTTTCTTTGATCGTTCGTGATTATTAAATGACTCATTTGGCCTGGAAATGACTCATTAAAAAGAAAATGACAACCAAGAGCTTACCAATTTTCCATTTTTTACTGGAACTGCAGGAAGTTCGTTGAAGGAGAAGTGTGAACAACAAATAGCAGGAAAGCATCTGGCTGACTTGCGTGGACTTCACTCTAGATTTGACTAGTTCTGATCAACACATTAACGACGGAATGCTGAAATAAAAGGAATCATTTCATAAAAAAAAATCAGCAATATGATTAAAAGTTTAAAAACCTTATTTTTTGAGGATAAATTATTTAAAAAATTAGTTTGAGTGTGTGATGACGGGTGTTAATGTATAAGAGAACACCCTTTACAGGACATTCACAAATGATTTTAAAAACGCACAAAAGAGCAGTTTTGAACAAAGTGTATTTGGTTTCGAATATTTTAAGAGAAGAGCTCAGAAAGTCAATGATAAACAAAGAACGCGCAAAGGTCAATTAATTTAGGACATTTCCAGAAACTCCTCGCGGATATCGCAGATCTGTACATGAAATTAATCACAAACTGGGTTTTGATTTCAAAAACAATATATAAATTTTCGGGTCATACAATTTAACA